AGGACACCAACATGCAGCCATCTGCCATTGTCTGGCACACCCACCGCTGGCGGAAGAATGGCTGGTCATTGCCGTCCTAGAGCTACTGGGTGGGCATGTCCTGGCTCTGGCTTAGCATTCAGCCTCTCCCCCACCAATGAGATTCATCAAGGAGGAGGGAATTTGCATATCCTCTTCCCACAGTCCTTTGTGGGAGCGAGTGATGAATTGGCTTGTCTGAGCTGGTGATTTTGGTCAAGGGAACCCTGACCCAATTAAACTACAATTAAATGGGGAAGCAGGGAGGAGCTGGCTGGATGGGGGGAAAGCGGGGAGAGATGGTGGTGGGGGTGGGGTGATTACCTTCTCGCCACTTCCACCTCTCCACAGCCAGCCATCCTTTGTTGGAACCTGAAAGTCTGAGGCAGAGCAAGCCGGCAGAGGGGTCCCTGATTCCACTGGCCCCCCTGAAAGGGTGGCGGATTTGGCGCCAGCCAGGATCGGCCGCTCCAATTATGTCATGTGAAAAAATCAGCCCCCATTCAGTGTGTCCCTTCCCTGAGATCAAACCCCGTTAGTTCCACGGCCGTTGCTTCATTATCTCTGCTCGGAAGTGCGCCTCTAGATGGGGCCTGTTAATCTAAGCCCAGCCCCATTAGCCAGGCCAGGACACCAGGGGAGAGTCCATTATTCATTTAATTGGTCATTAAAGGTTTAATTGTTATTAACGATGTGGTCCAGGATCAGGAGCTCCTAACGGGCTAGGAACAAGAGAAAGGGAAGCTGGGGCAAGTCCCATGCCAGCCCCATTTTCCCCTGGGCCATTAAGGCCTAACCCTGACCCCACAGGCCAGACCTGCTTGAGCAGAGCTTGTTTCCCCAGCCCCTGATTGGGGAGACCCTTACAAGCCTTGGGGTCACTGATTGGGCTTAGGAAGCCCCTGAGGCTTAGATCCCTGCACTGGCAGCCCAGGCCTGGTCATGTCCAGTCAGTGTCGGGGTAAGTGGATGGCATTCGCTCTTCCTCCAGGGCTCATGGCATCGCCTGAGCTCCTCTTCTCAGGATCGATGCTGCCAGGCATCTCCCTGTTATGGTCCTGCTCCAAAGCCTTGCCAAGGCATAGGCCGCCCGGGGTCACTCTGCCAGGTGCCCCCTACAGCCCTGAAGGCAAACTGTCCTGGCTCTGGGATTTTTGTTTTTAACAGGGTTCTTTTTCATTTTTGTTTTTCCTTCTCCTCCCCTAACCCTTCTCATCCCTTCTCCTCTCCCCTTCCTGTGTCCAGGAGCGAGATGGGGAAAAAGCGCAAAAGGGAAAAACAAACCCAAAAATTGGACAATGTTGAGGCAGAAAATAGCCACGAAGCATTGTGACTCCTGGCCAACCCCACCGGCTGGCAATGACTGACAGTGTTTTGCCCATTCCACGCTGGCTCTGGCTTGTGGATCTGCTCCCCGCACAGCCCGGGGCCAGGCAGACGTACACGCCTGCCACTTCTGCCCCGAGGGATGGAGCTGGCTCCGGACTGTCTCTCGGTGGCTGACTGGGGCTTGTGGGCCCTGCGCTACGGCACTAAACACCCGCAGAGAAGCAGGGCCAGCTCAGGGAAATTACTGTAACATGAGCGGGCAAGGGTGAGGCAAGGGGCATGACCTGATTCCATCGGGGGGGGGGGACACCCCTTGTAGATTCCCCTGCGCTGGGTCTAGGGAACTGTGTTCTGAAAAGGACCCCGCTTCCTGCCGCTGGGACAGCGAGGAGCTGCAGCACCCAGTGGGAGCTCCAGGAGGCAATGTGACTCCATCTGCTTGGGGCAATAGGGTCAAGGCAACACCCTTTGACAGGCTGTCACGGGCCTTGCCCCCAGCAATGGGGCCAGACCTACGCTCCAGGGAGACAGGAGGATGGGTTCCCTGTGTCTGGGAATAGCAGGGGTCTATGTTGGGGAAGATGGGGGTGGCCGGCTGGAGAATATAGACTCCCTTGGCCTGGTTGCATTAAATGCTATTAACCTCCCCTCTGCACGCACGCGCACACACCCACCATCTGCTCTGCTGTTGCCACCTTGCTTACCAGCCTGCTCCCTGCTCACCTGCCATGTGGCAGGGCCTAGAGGCCTTGGAAATCCCAAATGATCTGTAAACTACGGGCTGGCCATCACCCAGCCTCCTCCCTGGTCCCATGTATGGAGCTCTGGGAAGGCTGCCTGGTTTTCTCTGCAGCTCCATCTGGGTCCCTTTGAAATTCACACATTGTGGAGAGCATAATTACTGAAGCTTTGTGTACCCAACATGTGGCCTTGTAGTCACTGCTTGAGAGCAATTAGGAGAGGCAGGGCCCCAGGCTGAGCCCCCTGCGCTGCCCCAGAGTGACTGGAGAGCAGATTCCCCTTGACAAGCACAGGAGACTGACAGCAACTGTTAAAAACTCAACAATACCAGCTCCCGGCCCAGAGCCTGGGAGAGACTTTACTGGGAACTTGTGTCAGGTCACCCATGCATGGAATATGGAATTAGACCTGACGTACAATAGATGAGGAGAAGGCAAAAGAAAGAAAGAAAGAAAGAAAGAAAGAAAGAAAGAAAGAAAGCTTGGATCCGAGAAGAGGAGATGAAAGAGCATGAGGAAAAGAGTGAGGGGAAGTTGTGAAGAAGTGAATGAGGAAGAGATCAGACAGAGAGAGGGAAGTGAAGAGTAGGAGGAAGAGAGACAGAGGGAGGGAAAATACATGAGGAACAGAGACACGGAGAGACAGCACACAGGATGCAACCCCTCCTCGGTCCCAGCCCATCCCTGGCCTTGGGCCTCCTTGACCCTGCTCCACGTCACTGACAGGGCTCGTGGGTTGTGTGCGCCCCCAGCCCGGTCAGGTAGGGAACATCCTTCTCCCTAGCTCCTGAGACAGTGTAAATGGCCTTGATTTTTGCCGTGCAGGGCGGGCCAGCTCTACCATGTGGGCTGCTCGGCCCCCTGCCCTCCCGCTCCCTTCCCCATGGCTGAGCACAGCAGGACGGCAGCCAGAGCATTGGGGTGACAAGCCCAGACCCCAGCAGGCAGCTGGCATGTAGGATGCTGCGTACTGGCCCTGGTGCTCCTCCCCCGCAGGGCATGTGCTGTCTCAGGAGCAACCTGCAACCGGAGCAAGCTGCAGCCCCTCCACTCTTCTCTGGGGTGGCCATGCCAGGGTCCCACAGCCACCAGGCTCGGGGGACACATGGTTAGACTGCAGTGGGGAGCGAGATTCCCAACCCGGGTAGACAGACTCGCACTAGCCAGGCTCAAGGTAGAGTGCTCACAATAGCAGCGTGGGGGCGGCCGCTCAGGCACTGCAGCTCACCCAACGCCTTGAGTCTTAGCTCAAGGGGCTAGCTGGAGTCTCTATACGGCATGCTAGCTCCTGGCGCCAGGCTGTCTACCCGGGCAGGCGGGGAGACTCGCTCCCAGCTGCAGAGCAGACGTACTGTGAAGTCCAGATTCTATTTGGATAAGGGCAAGGACCATGTCTTTGTTCTGTGTCTGTACAGCGCCTAGCACAATGGAGCCTGGAGCTCAGCTGCGGCCTCTATGGACTGCCATAAGATACATAATTAGTACCCAGGATCACCTCCTGAAAACAGCCTGGCAGCATTCTTTTGGCCCTGCTGTTTGGAAGGAGCATGAAGCAGAGGGTCTGGGAGCACCTTGGCATGATGCAATGGGAATGCAGCTAAGGAGAGCGAAAGCAACCAGAAAAAGGGGCCGTCCTCGCTCAGAATCAAGCTGAATGTCAGGGAAAGTGGCCTGCTGGAGACGGCAGGATTGTCTCCCAAGGGTGTGGACTGGAGCTTCAGCACTTGGGACTTCTACGAATGGACAAGACAACTGCAAAACTTCCTGCAGGAAAAAACAGACAAGACCCAAATGGACTTTTCTGCCTCATCATTTCTATGATTCAAAGCACAGACATGGAACTAACTGTCAGAAAACTGAGTTCCCACGTGAAACCCTCTGGCATTTCTTAGAAGAACAATGGTGCTGGTCAAACTCCAGCTCAGACTGACACATTCTGCCTCCCTAACGCACTCCCTTGCCGGAATGCTGCTGTCAGACCATGGTCCACACCAGAAGTAGCTGCACTTCATTTGTGGATCAAGCGAGTCCTACATACAACACAGTTTGTAAGGAACACTAGAGATCTTTTGGGATGAAATACACTACTTACGTTGTCACTCACAAGTGGTGTATTATTCCGATATTACTGGCATCAAGAGTCAACTAACAGGTCCCGTACTTCAGAACGGGTTTGAGTTTTTGTACGTGTTTACTCTGAATACAACCATAAATGTATATAGTTGCATTTACCAGCAGAATCAGCAACGCTCTCTGACATAGCTAAAAAAAATACCCAACAAAAATGTTCTCTAGGAAACTAGATCATTTCATTTTGTTTTTTTAAAATCTGCAGCATAAAAAATGAATAACAATAAAGACAAAGGGCTGAGGGAAGAGAAACCTGAGATGATTCCTCAAGTCCAGGGAAGGTCGCTACAGGCTGCTGGAGGACAGTGGGTTTGAACAGACAAGAGGTTTGTGCGAGAGTCCAGGTGTAAGTGCAGAGGACCTGGCCAATTGGTTGTGCCAGCCACAGGTACAGGGGGATGTTGACCCACTCCCAGGAGTGAGAGACGGGGCTCTGGAGGCATGGAATCTCATAGATGCTAAGGCTAGAAGGGACCATTGCGATCATCTAGTCTGACGTGTATGACACAGGCCTGAGAGCAGCCCCTGCCTTGAGCTCGATCCTCTGCCTGCTCTCACCTCTGCCATGTGCTGACCCTGAAGGGATATTCTGGAAGCGTGCCTAGGGAAAGATGAGACAGGACCAGCCCCTCAGCTGGTGCAAATCACCGTAGCGCCAGTGATTGACACCAGCTGCGGATCTGGCTCTCTGTGGTTGAAAACAAAACAAAGGAAACACAAACTATCCCTTTGGTTCTACGGAGCTGAGCTGGCTCGGACAGTCATGTTGTTGCTCTTGGAAACTCGTCTCCTTTACGCAAGATCTCGGCCGTGCCACCCATTCACTAGTGTCCATGTCTGCTTCCTTGCTCATGATGCCAATCAGTTCAACCCCGAGACCCTTCTAACATGTAGCCGTATGTGGGGCGGATTCCTGCCCTGCCTCGCTGCGCTGAGCTCTGGCTTGGGACGTTTGGTAGCAGCCAGACAGGGTGCTGCATGGGGAGGCCTGGCAGTCCCCTTAGGGAAACACCAACATCCAAGATCCATTCTGAGCAACCCAGGATGCAGAGTAGCCAGCCTGGTGGGAGCAGGAGACGGGAGAGTTGCAGGAGGATAGGAGGGGGCATCATTAATCAAATAGGCTGCCAGGTTTTATCAATGGTCTGAATGTGCTCCTTGGCTTTCATCCGTAGGGACGCGATGCTGGAGCTCCTCTGGTCGACGTCTTCCAGAGGGTACTTGTCCACAAAGGGGGTGGCGCACTGGTACGGCGTGGGTGCCATGGGCTGCATGGGCTGAGCCATGGGAGGCGCAGTGTTGAGGAAGGAGTGGCTGGCGTAGGCGGGCTGCAGGGCCTGGGTGGGCCCCATGAATCCTGGAATGCTGTGGGCTGAGGTAGCGCTGGAGATGGGGGAAGTCAGCCAAGGGTCCAGAGGCAAGGAGTTGCTCATGGGCCCAACGTTGGCGGTCACTGGGGGCCTGTTGAAGGACAAAATGGGGGTGTCGTGGAGTTTCATCGAACTGGCTTCCATTTTCTCTTGCCTCCTCCACTTGGCACGTCTGTTCTGAAACCACACCTGCAAGAGGAGAGGCTGGAGCGTGACTAACTGCCCCAGTCCTAGCCCACCAACTTCCACCAACGTTCCACATTGCAGCCCAGGACTGTCGGACCCCTGCCTACAACAGCCACCTGGAACTCTGTGGCTGCAATGAGGAGAGAACTCAGAGTCTCCTGCCCCTACATCCCCCTTTCTACCACCTGAGCTAAAGGAGAATCCTGCAATATATGGCCTAGGCCGCCCGGCTGAGCAGCTCTGAGTCCACCTGTAGAAGGGAGAGCTAACATACACATACACACCAGCCAGTTCTTTCCCATACTTAGCACCCAAGCAGCACCTGAACCTGTCAATTTTGAGTGATGTTTCTGTGACTACCCACACATTATTACTGTGTTACATTTGCTGGCTATAAAATCCTGACATCATTAGGCAGGCCAAAGGCTTGTTGATTTTTTAACTCCTGAGGGAGGATCTGGCCCCTCATTTGGGAAGTCACTCTTGGATGATTTAGATAATACAATGCCACACAATCCTGTATAGCATCTTTCCTGAAAACCTTCCCCCAAAGCACTTTGTGGAGTTAAATAATAAGTAGCAGAGAGAAGGAAAAAACACTGTGAGGAGTGATGTGAACTAGAGAGGAAAAATCGGGGTAATCAGTGAAAGGGCCATTTGGACATTCAGTAAAAGATTCTTTTCCCCAAAGCTGCTGCTCAGAGCCAGTTATTCCTCCTCAGGGAGTGTGTGTGTGTGGAGAGGGGAGTCTCAGGTTAACTCCTCTAGTTTAGATCACAGTCATTGATTTGAAGGCCAGAAGGAATCATTGTGAACATCTAGTCTGACCTCCTGCATGTCATAGGTCAGAAAAACTCACCCAGTGATTCCCGCATCAAGCCCAGATCTTGTCACTGAGCTACAGCAGATCTTTAAGAAAGAAGTGCCCAGTCTTGATTTAAAGACGCCGAGTGATGGAGATTCCACCACATCCCTAGGTCGGTTGCTCCCTGTTAAAAATTAGCACCTTCTTTCTAGCCTGAGTCTGTCTCGCTTCAACTTCCAGCCACTGGATCATGATTTGCCTTTGTCTGAGAGATTAACAAACCCCCTATTGTCAAAGATCTTTTCCCCACGTAAACAACAAGGAGTCCAGTGGCACCCTAATGACTAACAAATTTATTTGGGCATAAGCTTTCGGGACTCCTTGTTGTTTTTGTGGACACAGATGAACACGGCTACCCCCTGATACTCTTCTCCCCGTGTAGGACTTATAGACCAGGATCAAGTCACCCCTTAGAAACTCCTCCCCACTATTGCCTTTCACTGACTCTCCCCACCGTCCCATATCTCTTTCCCCCATGAAAGGCTGGGCGCTCCTAGAGAGACCAGACAGCAAGTGTGAAAAATCAGGACGGGATGGGGGGTAATAGGTGCCTATATAAGAAAAAGCCCCAAATATCGGGACTGTCCCTATAAAATCGGGACATCTGGTCACCCTAAGCACTCGTGACCAAAGAAGTGGGGCAGGGGCGAGAGTGAGGGGGAAGAGGCGGGGCAGGGGAGGTGCCAGCTCTCCTGCTGGAGTGTCTGTTTTTTTAAATATTGTCAAGTTGGCTGCCCTAGTTCAAACTCATGGGCCTAACTCATTCCTAGTGCTTTCAGTTCAGGTACAGCAGAGATCAATGTGTTTAAAAAGTCCTTCCCCATGCTGCTAGTAACACTTTGGGTTTATCAAAACCAATGGGCTGCCAGAAATGCTTCCAGTTTGCATTTCAGTCAGCTTGGACCGGCCTGCTCCACTTCCTGTTTCTAGTCAGTGACCATTCCAGGGGCAGATCTTCAACTAGTGTAAATGGTAACTGATGATTCCCTTTTCTGGGGCACCTGGCATTGGCCACTGTCAGCAGACAGGATACTGGGCTGGATGGACCTTTGGTCTGATCCAGTGTGGCTGTTCTGTTGTTCTTATGGTCATATGATCCTCACCACCTGCGAATCAGCCCCCTCAATCTCTAGCTACACCTGCTTGGCAACTGGGCCCCCAGGACTCAGCCACCAGTGAAAGCAACAGATGAAGAGATGCTGTGTCTATGCTATTATACTGTCTTACATGATGCAGTGTTTTTGTGCTCCCATACTATGAAGTCTCATCATATCTAATTAAAACTGAACATCAGTTATCAAAATCAATGAACAACACACCCGAAAAATGCGCCACCCTTGTATCTTTGAAAAACAGGTCAAAGAATCAAAAATAGAATCATAGAATATCAGGGTTGGAAGGGACTTCAGGAGGTCATCTAGTCCAACCCCCTGCTCAAAGCAGAACCCATCCCCAACTAAATCATCCCAGCCAGGGCTTGTCAAGCCTGACCTTAAAAATATCTAAGGAAGGAGATTTCACCACCTCCCTAGGTAACGCATTCCAGTGTTTCACCACCCTCCTAGTGAAAAAGTTTTTCCTAATATCCAACCTAAACCTCCCCCACTGCAACTTGAGACCATTACTCCTTGTTTTGTCATCAGCTACCACTGAGAACAGTCTAGATCCATCCTCTTGCTAACTTATACCACTCACAGATCTGCCATGGGCTGGCTGGTCTTTTGAGTGAATCAACCGAATTTCGCTGTACATTTTAATTAGAAATCACGCCGATCGTATCAGAATCAAATACCAAAATATCTTATCCCCCAGCATGGAGGCAATTGGTGGTAGGTTTAAACTTAATTGGATGAACATGCTTATTAATATGTCTGTTAATCCTTTAGAAAGTGCCATGGAATATACATGTATTATAACCGTGTATAGCATGCAGTTAATTACCTTTTAATTGATTTTCTTGTTTAATTACTCAGGGTGGTTTCCAACTTAATAAGGAGCTAGTTGATCCCCTCATTCCCGCCTTACCCATTGCTGGAGTTTGTGGGGAATGAACAAACATTGACTGAAACTCTTGTTCTGCCCTGTGTTTTACTAGCCAATCACTTGTTTCCACGTTGGTTATGACAAAGATCTACTGATGAAAATAAAATGCTGCCCTTCTCTTTCATTTATATGGAATTGGTCTGGGGGCGGGCCCCAGGCACCAGGGATACTGAGGCTGGTGTGTGAATGTGTGCGTGCGCACACCACTGCCTCTTATTAGAAAGAACAGGAACTGCTCAGCTGTGGGTCATAGGGTCTGAACTGCTAAGAGCTCGTGGAGATTCTCCTTTAGCTCAGGTGTTAGAGGCTTGAGTTTATGGAGCAGCAGGATCTGCTGTGAAGTTCATGGCTATGGATCCCCTGGACATCCCCCTCTCTCTTTGGTCCCCCTCCCCCTGCACACTAATCCCTCCTCCCACCCACTGGTGGCTTGGTAGTGCTGTAGCCGACGGGGCCGTGCGTATAGCCATCCTCAGGCCTGGTGCAAGGCCAGTGCCACTCTGAGAGTCAAGCCCCAGGGGGCGATGAAGGCCTGTGCACTAGGTCTCTCCTCTTCTCCCTCTCCCACGCATGCTGCCTCTCCTAGAGACAGAGACTGAGGCAATGAACCCTGGCTCAACTTAATGTGCGACTGTGGCCCAGCTCAGACCCCATTCAAAAAGATGAGCCATGTCCTGGAAACTAGGATCCTGACTCCTGACCACCTGTGGTCCTGAAAGACCCCTTGTGGTTTCTCCTGCAAAGGGGGTTGTCCCCTATGCCTGGCCTAAATTCCAGCCTGCTTCCTTAAATGCAGTTTCAATGGGATTTAATACACTTCTCCACTTTCTGTCCTAAGCTCCCCTGCGGCGTTGCTGTGTGGTGCAAAATAGCTGCTTCTGCGTTTCACCCCAGAGCTGGCTGCATTTCAGTGGTGGCCAGAGTCATTCTAGTATCTATGGTTTGTTAAGTCTGCAAAAGGGCTTTGTGAGACATTTAACATTAAGGCATCATTTTCAGAACTGGTTGAAATTTTTTTGCATAAAAGTTTTTGTGTGTGTTGAAAATTGACTTTTAAAAATAAAATTAAACTTTTAACAAGAAAATTGCAGACACGACTGAAATTTTCTCATTTTCATGAAATTTTCCACACATATTCAACTGAGCTGGACTGAACCAGTGACCTAGTGGTGAAAGGCTCCTGCATACAGCATTGGTTAACCTGGTGCCCAGGAGTAACAGGCTCATCTGGCCCTCCCTCACCTGCACTCTGACTTCCGGCAGATTGACTTTCATGGCCAGCTCCTCCCGGCTGTAGACGTCTGGGTAGTGGGATTTCTCAAAGGCCCTCTCCAGCTCATGCAGCTGGTAGGTGGTGAAGGTTGTGCGGTTCCTGCGATGTTTCTTCTTGGGCTGTTCCTCCTCTGTGTTCTCTGGCGTGGTGCCCTCGCTGTCCACGTTCTTCCGCAGCTCACTCAGCTCTCCCTCGCATTTATTTAGGAACATGTTGGCTTCTGCAGCAGGGACAGTAGTTAGGGGTTAGATCGGAGCTGGGCAGGGAACACCAGCCTTGCAGCTCACTAGAGAGACCCAGACAGGTCCCTCTGTCACACTACAGCTGCAGCAGGAGCAACTTAAGAATTATTATTAAGTAGCAACTGTTAAGGTGAAAACTGTATCTAGGGATCAATTTACCTGCCACTGAAAGGCAGCCACCTCTGTGGTGGAAGGTGACAGCTGTTTAAAGTGCATAGCGGCGCTGCACAACAGTTTCAGGCCAGTAAGTGAGGAAGAATCAGCCTGCACAGAGTGTTTGTGCTGATTTAAATACACTAGAACCTCAGAGTTACGAACTGACGAGTCAACCACACACCCCATTTGGAACCGGAATTGTGCAATCAGGCAGTTGCACACACACAGACACACACACACACAAAGCAAATACAGTGTGTTAAACGTAAACTACTAACAAAATAAAGGGGAAGCAGCATTTTTCTTCTGCATAGTAAAGTTTCAAAGCTGTATTAAGTCAATGTTCAGTTGTAAACTTTTAAAAACAACCATAACGTTTTGTTCAGAGTTCTGAATGTTTCTGAGTTATGAACATCCTCCATTCCCGAGGTGTTCAGATCTCTGAGGTTCTACTGTATATTGGGTAGGAACTGTGAATCGCTGAGAATAAGCTTTGTGCTCGGATTACTGCATCAGTACAAAACCTGCATGCAGACCAGCCCTAAATGAAAGTGCCTGGGGGAAGTGAAGCAATTACCCACCTGGACAGAGGGGCTAACCCTCCTGCCCTTGCAAATAGCGCCACAGGGAACTCAAATGCAGCATTCCTTCAGATCCAGCTAGTGCAGTTGCTCAGTACTGGACACAGACCCATCAGCACACTTCAGGCCACTGTTGCCTGTTCCTTGGATACCTTCCCAGATCCCTCCTGCTTTGTTTGTGAGCCCAGTAGAGATTCATGGCACAACATGCTCCAGCTTTCTGAGCACTTCACCCTTATTCATCTTTTCCGAGCTATTCCCTTCCACTCCCCTGAAACGCTGCCAAGATCTCATGGGAAACGTTCAGGTTCCAAGCAGCTCTGACTTTCCAAAACATCTCCAACCCTCACTCACAAGGGACTCTTGGCATTGAGACAGCACTAGGAGAGGGGCATCAGCAATGAAGGCCAGATAAACCAGTACCTCCCGGCTTCTTTGTGCCACTCCAGCACCACAGAGCAGCCATAAACCTGGCCAGTGAACCTGGCATTTCAGCCGCTTTGTGTCACCAGAGTGGTCAAAGCAACCAGAGTGCACTGTGAAGCTGGCCCCCGGACAGACAGATTGATGGATTCTCCTCCAAGGAAACAGGTTGTTCATTCCTTTAAGAGTTGACCTGCTCCTGCTGCTTATTCCCTGTACAAAGTCACAGTCCTCCCCTTCCAACATCAGTGGGTCCCACAGCTGCCCATTGTGATGATACCCAAACCACAGGAGTAGGCTATAGGACTTGCAGCATTCTCTAGTGGAGAGAGCAAGGGGCTTGGCTTGGCTTGGCTTTGAGCACATTGGGTTCCAGTCCCGGCTCTGCCACTGACTGGCCGTGTGCCCTTGGACACATCTCTTCCCCTCTCAGTGCCTCAGTTTCCTCCATCTGTAAAATAAACTCCACACAGTGAAGCACTTTGAGATTGTCCAACAAAAGCAGCTAAGTAACATGGTTCACATGCAGGAAGAGGGCAAGCGAGAGCATGTGACCTCTGCTCCGGGAGCTTCCGAGGAGGTGCCAGATACTTATTACCCGCAAAATCCTAATTCCCTTGTAGTCAATGGGAGTTTTGCCATTAGCTTCAACAGGGTTGGATTTGTGTTTGCATATGCACAAGGGGGCAAGGCACCCTCCCGGCAGAGCTGTGACCAGCACTGCAGCATCACAGCAACTGGGCAGGATTGCTCGAATGCCAACGTCCCTTGCAAGAGAACCTGGACATACTCGAACTAAAACCATAAAGACATCCCCATGGAACGTGGTCCTTTCAAACAGCAGTGCTCCCCAGCCTGAGAGAGGATGGCTGAACAAGGCTGCCATGGGAAATGAGGGCCTGAGCCAGTTCCATTAAACTGGAGGAGACTTTAATGAGGTCTGATTCAGACCCTGGGTGATCTAGAGGCAAGAGCCTGTCTCACTGTCTCACAGAAAAGCAGGGCTGGAAGGGTCATCCAGTCCAGCCCCCTGCACTGAGACAGAACCAATTAAACTGAGACCCTCCCTGACAGGTGTCTGTCCAGTCTGTTCTTAAAACCCTCCAATGACAGGGATCCCACAGCCCCCCTGGGGAGCCTGTTCCAGAGCTTCACTGAGCCTTAGAGTTAGAAAGTTTTTCCTAATATCTAACCTAAATCTCCTTTGCTGCAGATTAGGCCCATCCCTTCTTGCCCTACCTTCAGTGGACATGGGGAACACTTGGTCCCCGCCCTTTCTATAACAACACCTCCTCCCACCCCCCAGCCAGTCGTCTTTTCTCAAGGCTAAACATGTCCAGTTTTTAAACTTTCTCTCATAGCTCAGGTTTGCTAAACCTTTTATCATGTTTGTTGCTCTCCTCTGGACTCTGCAATTTGTTCCATCTTTCTTAAAGTGTGGTGCCCAGTCCTCTGAGTGCAGAGTAGAGCAGGACAATTACCTCCAGTGTCTTCCCTGTTAATACACCCCCGAATGATATTCGCCTTTCTTGCAGTTGCATCCCATTGCTGACTCGTATTCAATTGGGGATCCACTCTAAGCCCCAGATACCTTTCAGCAGTACTATGCCGAGCCAGTTCTTCACCAGTTTGTAGCTGTCTCTGCTCTTCCTCCTCCTGGGTGCGGTACTTTGCACTAATCTTTATTGAATTTCATCTTGCTGATTTCAGACCAATTTGACAAGTCATTCTGAACTCTAATCCTGGCCTCCAAAGTGCTTGCAACCCTCCCCACTTGTCACATGCAAATATTAGGAGCATACACTCCACCCTATTAAATGATGGTCTGCTCCCTCTGATTTCAAAGCCCAACCCCATCAGCATTAAACAGAGGCAGTGAGCCAGATCGTCAGCTAGTGTAAATCAGCATGACTCCACTGAAGCTGATTTACACCAGCTGAGGATCTGCCATGGTGCCTCTGCGCCCTATACAGAGTCAGAACCTAATGGATACAGTGCAGTGACCCCAATGAGAATACACCCACAGGTATATTTTCACACTTACTCTTTGTTTAAACATCAGTGAGACAAAAAGCCAGGCTGATGAATAGATCTGACCCCTGCCTGACTGCAGTGGGAGCTTTGGCTGTGCAATGACTGCAGGATCTAGCTTAATCTAGTATGGAGCCAGGGAGCTTCAGTGTGTGTCTGTGATTAATCACTAACACCAAAGGCATTTTCTTTCACTGTCTATGACCCTGCTTACGTGAAGGAAATTTGCACATTATAACTATTTTGGTCTATTATCAGAATAAACTATGGTGGTGTCATTCCACTGGGCTGGAATTACAACAGTGGAATTTCATCGAGTGCAGATTTTCGTAACACGGTTTTGGGTTTGGGAACACCCTTTCCAGTTAATGAGTCAAGTATACTCTTATCTGGGGTAAATCAGATAGACTTCAATGGAACCACACTGATTTTTCACCAGATGAGGTTCTGAAGATTATATATATAATGCAGATAGATCGATGGAATCTATCGATCGATCTATTTTACACGGGTGATTATGACATTCTTTGTGAAAGCTATTAATTATATGCGTATTAAAAATAAGCTTCCACAATTTAGTGTCCTGTCAAGAACGGAGAAAAATTATATGAAAAACAAAAATTAAAAATAAGTTTCATATGAAAGCTCAAATTAATAAACCACCTGCCATGTAAATTAATTCAAACCTTAACTTAATATGGCTGTAAATCACAATCAGCATGGGATTTTTAATTCTTTCAGTTTAAATCATTTTCTTTTTTCTTTCTTTTACTAACTGACTTAGCAACGTAAAAATTCTCTTGTAATGTCTTTGACAATATATTTGTCCATTCAATACAGATCACCTAAGAAAATAATGAGGAGTCCGGTGGCACCTTAAAGACTAACAGATTTATTTGGGCATAAGAAACCACTGTGGTTTTTTTACTCACGAAAGCTTATGCCCAAATAAATCTGTTAGTCTTTAAGGTGCCACCGGACTCCTTGTTGTTTTTGTGGATACAGACTAACAGGGCTACCCCTCTGCTACTTAAGAAAATAATGAAATTCTCATAGCTAATCCCTGCAGTTGTCTTGAAAAAAGACAGGCAGTTGTCTGACCAGTAAAATCCACATTTCAGAGATGCAATAGAAATAGGCTAAAGTAAGATTTTTTAAAAAGAAAAATCCGCTATCGAGTGTCTGAAAAAAATCACAAATATAAACTGAGATTTAACCTGCTCAAAAATTTTTTTTTAAAGTTCACCATCTTTGTGGTGTTTCTCTTTTAAAATATTAATTAGATCTGGACAAACTTTACTTGCTGGAGATAATATGGCACTTGAAATTCTATGACATAAAAATGCAGATAAACTACGGAAACCAGTGGTAGAAAAACTAGAGACTCCTTTAGCTCTCGCCCCCCAGCTCTGCTATGTGGCAGTTCTGAAGGGTATTTATTCCCTTTAACTACAAAACGAACAGAGAGAAAACAGCAGAGGGAATAACAGGCCCATCAACATGGCTTCCCCCCAAAAAAGTACCTGGTTTCTTTACCTCTCTGCCCCCAACCCCTGTTTCTGGCTAATGACCTTTTTCCCCCTGAGTGTTTATAAGCGTTTTCAAACCTAGGAACATTTCGTCTTTAAGCTTTTTATCCAGTGTATCTGAAATCTTTCTGTGGCATTTGATAAGGATTACCAGCTCCTTTCTATCGGTAGGGATCTAATACAAACATTTAAATAAAATGAAAATACATAATCCCAGGATATTTCTTCAAAGGGAAATGTGATCAGATCTCGCTGGGATAATGATGTACTGGAGTGTGTGGTGTGCCTCACATACACACGTGCACACACAGATACACACGTATGTGTGAGTCTAAAGAAATCCAAAGGAAATTACATTAAGTAACTAAAACTAAATAAATAACTAAATAAAAGATCCCACTGTACATATGTGTGTGTACTTTATATATGTACACACGTATAGACACCTCTATAATATAGATACGTGTGTGTTTGAAGAATTAAAAAGGAAATTAAATTAAGTAACTAACTAAATAAGATAAAAGAAATAAAAGATCTCTCTTCCTGTGTTTGTGTGTAGATAGATAGAGTGTATGGGGATAGATAGATAGATAGATAGATAGATAGATAGATAGATAGATAGATAGATAGATAGATAGATAGATAGATAGATAGATAGATAGAGTGTATGGGGATAGATAGATAGATAGATAGATAGATAGATAGATAGATAGATAGATAGATTGTACGGGGATAGATAGATAGATAGTATGGGGATGGATAGATAGATGATCGATTGATCTATGGTACAGTATACACATATTTACACATACACATGCACACACATATGTAGTCCGACACATACAGACACACGTGTGTACACACACTAACGTATACAAAGGTATCTTTTAGTTAGTTAAATGTTCTTATGAATTTCTTTCAGATAAGGTGAACACTGTTTTTAAGGCCCCTTTTCCGTGTCTGATCTGTTCCTACTAGGATCCACACTCAATGGTCCAAGCAGATTACACATCGTGCCGGTGTCTCTGGGGGGCCCCGGCCCCCAGCTTTGGCGGGAGCGGGGTGTTGGCTCTTTGCTGTTCACTCGTTGTTCAGCCGCTGCCCAGATGACCCGCGGATCTGGAGGATGCCCCGGGCCGGCCTGTCCTTCCGCAGCCGGGGCTGCCCCGGCGCTAAGCCTGGGAGCGAGCAGTGCCGCTCAGCGCAGCCCGATGCAGGCCAGGGACCTGCCCGCCTGCCCCCACCCCGTCCCCGCGGCCGGCCAGGCCTACACCTCGGCAGGGGACTTGCCGGGAGGAAGGAAGAAAGCGTCCAATGCCCGACTCACGAGACTGCCTGGGCCCGGCGCGGGCACCGCGAGCCCCGTGCGCCCCTGGGTCCCGCACCGCTCCCAGACTTCTTGCCAGGACCGGCCCGACGGCTCTCCGGGGAGCCGAGCGCTCAGCCCCGAGCCCCGACCCTCAGCGCCGCTTGAAGGGGCTCCCAGGCTCATCTCCCCGCCAAGCCGGGTCCCTCTGCCCTGCCGGGGGGAAAGGACAACTCGGACTCGGGTCCCGCTTCTTTCTCCAAATTCCGCGGAGTGACCCCGGGCTGGCCCGGGGCGGCTACTGCCGAGCCCCGGCCGGGTCACAGACCCGAACCAAGCCGGCAAACAGACCCCCCCGCCAGGCGTGGGCCCGCACCGCCGGGGGCGGACTCGGAGGGCAGCGAGCGGCTCTTCCCGGGATCGGGCTCCGGGCGCGCAGAAAAAGCCCCGGAACGCGCCGGGGAAAGCCGGAGTTTCAAGGGGGCGAAGCTTCAGAAACTTGTCAATTATACTGAATAGTGCGGGGACAACCCCGGCCCGGGCCAGGCGCCGCCACCGAACCGGGCTCTTCGCGTTTGGGAAAGAGAGAAAAAGTCTCCAAAAAGTTGGATCTAGACACGGGGAGGGAGGCGCCCGGGGCTCCGCGCTCACACCCAGCCAGACCCCTAGCGACCCCCCAACACCCGGGCACGGCCCTTTTCCGGGGGCTCCCCGCCCCGGGGCGCCCGGCTGCCGCTGGGATTGGCCTGCCTCGCCCAGCCCCGACGGCACAAGCCAGGCTGGCTGAGCGGCACCGTGCCGGGGAGCCAGGACGCTTGTTACCGGCCCCGAACCTGCCGCCGCGCCCGGCGCTGCAGGGAAGCTCCCAGCTGGGGGGCGGCGCGGGCGCTGCGCCGGGCAATCGGCTGCCTGGCAGGATGCTCCGGCCTGGAGCGCCTGGACCCGGTTGTGCCCCCCGCCGGCGGCTGGATGTGACTTGCGAACCTATTTACCGTACAGAGCCGCCTCCTCCGGGTGCGAGCCCAGGGGCTGGGCGCTGCAGGGAACCGGCAGCTGCTCCGCTCTGCTGGCCTCCCCCAGGCTGCTCGCGCTGCTTTTGCTGGCCGCGAGGCCGGGCACCTGCAGGGGGCCCAGGAGCGAGTCCTGATCCCTGCTAAATCCCAGGATCACGTCGATGCTGTGCACGCGCCCTGCACCCCCCGCGCCGCTTCCGCAGCCCTTCAGCAACACCTGCTGCTGCTGCAGGGCCCCTGCCTCCAGCACGTTCATGGGGCCCTCCTGCAAGGCCAGGTGCATTCAGACAGGTGGGAAGCAGGGGGCTGGCAGTGTATGTGGGGAGGCGGGGAGAGGCTGGAGATGGGGGTGTCTGGGGATGGGTGAGTGGAAGGATGGGTGAGGTGGGTCTGTAACTGTGGGGTCAGTGGCTGGGGTGAGTGGAAGGATGGGTGAGGTGGGTCTGTAACTGTGGGGTCAGTGGCTGGGGTGAGTGGAAGGATGGGTGAGGTGGGTCTGTAACTGTGGGGTCAGTGGCTGGGGTGAGTGGAAGGATGGGTGAGGTGGGTCTGTAACTGTGGGGTCAGTGGCTGGGGTGAGTGGAAGGATGGGTGAGGTGGGTCTGTAACTGTGGGGTCAGTGGCTGGGGTGAGTGGAAGGATGGGTGAGGTGGGCCTGTAACTGTGGGGTCAGTGGCTGGGGTGAGTGGAAGGATGGATGAGGCGGGTCTGTAACTGTGGGATCAGTGGCTGGGGGTGAGTGAAGGGATGGGTGAGGTGGGTCTGTAACTGTGGGGTCAGTGGCTGGGGGTGAGTGGAAGGATGGGTGAGGTGGGTCTGTAACTGTGGGGTCAGTGGCTGGGGGTGAGTGGAAGGATGGATGAGGCGGGTCTGTAACTGTGGGATCAGTGGCTGGGGGTGAGTGAAGGGATGGGTGAGGTGGGTCTGTAACTGTGGGGTCAGTGGCTGGGGGTGAGTGGAAGGATGGGTGAGGTGGGTCTGTAACTGTGGGGTCAGTGGCTGGGGGTGAGTGGAAGGATGGGTGAGGTGGGTCTGTAACTGTGGGGTCAGTGGCTGGGAATGAGTGGAAGGATGGGTGAGATGGGTGGGTGAGTGGCTGAGGTGCAGGCTGCCAGCCCCGCTCCTGGCACTGTCCTCTCTCTCTGTCTCTCTTTCACCCTCTTCTCATTTGCGCAGCTCTTTTCATCTGCAAGGAAAGAAGAGAGAGAAGGAGGGTGAGAAACGCACTGGCCCCCTGGATTCTGCATCAGAACCGCAGTCCATTGCCATCACCCACCCCTCTGGCCCAAGGATGCAGCAGCACCAGGCTCCCAGAACAGGAACATTCCCCAGACCAGGTGACCAGGGTCCATCCCTGGCTAGGGCAGAGCTCCAGGGCCCCAGGCAGCTAAGCAGGCTGGAGGAGCCAGACCTACCATCATCCCATGTTTCTGAACACCTCCCTGTCCACATCCTGTCCCTACATCCACCTCTGCTTTGGAGAGCTCTCCACTGGGCCTGGTCTTTCCCCGGGCAGCCTAGAGACACTCTGCCCTCCTGGAAAGGGTCTGGACAAGTGAATTTGGCCATAGGTGCTGGAACGAGGGGTGCTGGGGGGGGAAAGGGGGGGGCTGCTGCATCTCCTGGCTTGAAGCGGTTTCCATCAGATACAGGGTTTACAGTTTGGTTGAGTGGCTCTCAGCACCCCCACTGTATTAATTGCTCCAGTGCCCCTGAACTCGGTCCCCTGTCAGAACAGGCTCTGGGTTGGCCCCTTGTCTCGGGGGTGTGAATGGCCCAGTAGGGAGTCGACAGCCCAGCGGACAGATGCTCTCCACCTCTGTGCCTTGTGAAGCTCACTGGTGCCCATGAACCCGCACAGCGATGGGGGGAGGGTGTTGGCCTTGGAGTCTGGATTCGGCTTCAGTCTCCCTTCCACTAGATCGGTCCGTAGCAAAGAATTCTTTGTGTGTTTGTGCATGTGTGTCTGTGGGGTGGGTGTGTGTCCGTATCTGGGGGCAAGGGGGACTGTGCATGTCTGGGGTGTGTGGGCATGTCTCTAGGGGTGTGTCTGCAGGGGAGGGCTGCGGCGGGCCTGGGTGTGTCTCTGTCTGTGTCTGTGTTTGTAGGGTCCATTGCCTGAGTGGCCATGTGCTTGTTTGTGGGTGAGTGCGTGTGTTTAAGTGGTGCGGTATTTGTGTGGCATGTTTGTTTGTGTGTAGGGGAGGGCTTCTTGCCTGAGTGACCACTTACCTGTTTGTGTGCAGTGTGCTGTGTTGTGTATGTGTTTGTGCAGTGTGTGTGTGTGTGGGGGGGGGCGGCTAAGAGCTGGTTGCCTGGGTGACAGTTTCCCTGTTCCCTTTACACCAAGCCCAAGGCGGCCTGTTCAGTTGGGAACGCCCCAGCACCTGGCCGCTCAGTTCTGTCACCTCCATCCTCAAACCTCTAGAGGTCTGAGCTGCAGCTATTGAATCCAGGGACCAGGCTGCTGCAGGAGCAGGAATGGGTCGTCCGCTTCCTGGCTGGGGTTAGTGCGCGCCTGTCTTCTAGGACGAGCAAAAATATGGATTTTAAAAAATCAACTAATAAAGAGCCAAAGTGCCTGTGATGCAGGAGCCTACAACAATGCGAGCTGGGGCAATGGGCAGGCAGCTGGGGCAACCCCCCGGGGAGTGGGACCCACAGTATAGCGGGGATGGGGTAGGGGCTGGTCATGCATGGCTCTCTAATTTCCCCTACAATCCCAGCATCTCTGCTTTAGCTGCACACACAACAAGGAAAGAGGAAAGCCAGTGAGACATAACCAATGGAAAGAATGAGACTAGATAATCCCGCTGAGTGGGAGCAGGAATAAAACAAGCAAGGCATTACAAAAATAACAGAATCAGATACATAAATAATGAAGTAAAACAAGAAGACGGAATGATACATAAGGGAATAAAGCGGGGAGTAAATCAGAAAATAAATAATAAATAAATTAAACAATAACATTTAATAATGTCTAAAAAGGAAGAACAAAAATCCAATTTCTCTGTTTGTTGATCTGTCCTTATACACACCCATCTATCTGCGGAGCCACCAGGATCTGACCCTCTGTTTGAAATAACCCGTTTCTCATTATGTTTTTAAATCCCAGATCAGTGCAGCCCTTCCTCCTGTTAGAATTGGGCCAGTGTTTTCATTTCCACCTCTGATTTTGTTTTGACGTGCAGAGATCCTGTAGAGCCCCCTGTGCTACCCCCTCCTCTCCTTATTGGCTCTCATGCCCTCCTGAGGCCCTATCCCACATTTTCATCCTTTTATTTTCATTGGTGTCACCCTGGTTAGAAAGATCACTCTACCTAGCAGAAACAAAAAGGCCCCACAACATCAGAAACTTGATTGGTTATGTAAATGACCAGAGATGGCAGAGGGCACAGATCCTGCAGTCTTTGCCATGCTCCCCGCAAATGGCAAGCCTTGGGTGGGTGCAGAATTTGCCCCCTGACGCACAGTCCCATTGGCTTGACTGGAGCTGCCCTCCCCGCAAATGGAGAAGTCAAACTACACCTATGGTCTTTGCTCAGGCAGAACACTGATTGGTGTCCCAATGCATAATGCATAATGCTCCCCTTCTAAACATTCCATCTGCTGGTCCCATTCCTGTTAGCAAATCAATTCAAATAAAGAAAAGAAAACCTCTAAATAAATTCAGGGTGTGTGTGTTTCAAGAATCCCTTCTAGAATTTTTAAGGAACCTTAATTGGATTCATTCAGCTAAAAGAGCTGATTTCGATTTCCCATCTCGGTCTTTGGTGGATCCTGATATTTCATTATGAACGCCATGATCACAGCAGCAATTTTTGGTTTTAAGTGCTTAATCTTTAAGACTGTAATGAAGGAAACTGCAAAGACACAAAATCTCCTGGGGATTTTCCTCTGTTTTGATTTATTCTTGAGCACACTTTTGTTCCTCTACAATTTTGCATGGGAGTGGGGTTAGCAGCTACCCATCTTTTTAAAAAATAAATAAATAAACTGTGAAACAGTTAAGAGCATTTTTTTCATGCTGAGATAAAGATCAGAGAGAACCAGTGAATAAAACAGTTGTATTGTCTCTCTGCAACTTGTTAGTCAAATGATTGGGATTCCTGGGGATTCCCCTCCACCCCCCCCCAAAAAAACCCCAAAACTTCTGAAGTTTAACAGAAATGCAAAGAAAAAAAGCAAAAGGAAAGGAAAAAAAAAGAGGAAATGTAAAAGAAAAAAGAAGAAAAATGTAACAAAAGAAAAAAAAGAAAAGACATACAACTGACAGGCTGTTTCCAGCTTTGTTGAGAAACTCAGAATACTTGTTTGTTCCCATTTGCTTTTCAAATCTATTTCTTAAGAGGGAAAGAGAGCCAAGGAAGCCAAAATATCCAGGGGCCTGGCTTCTTATTTGGATGACCTGTCTCTATTAGCAGGTGAATGAAGGGGGGAGAGAGTAGGCCAGATGCTGCCCTCTGATCCTTAGGTATAAAGCAGGAGGGAGCCAGTGGAAGTCAATGATGGAGTTACTCTGGTGTGAGGGAGAGGAGAACTGGGCCAACCGGCAAGCATCAAGTTTTTAGTGCTACTTTTCTGCTGATTTCCAGAGCACATTTTATACCACATTTGCCCCTCAGCCCCCTCCCTCCCCAACCCCCTGTGCATGACGTTAGCACTTCTATTCCCCCCAGTGACCACCGCAGGACCTGCGCTTCTTTCCAGAGACCACATTTCTTTTTCAGCATCTCTCCCACACCTCTCCCTGCTGAATTAGAAGAAAACAAAATTACCTGCTGGGCCCCACTTGGATTTTCCAGGAGTATTTAACTTGGGAGGTCCCTCCTGGAAAGCAAACAAGCGGCTCAACCTCACCAATCTTGCAGCTTGGCAGCCAAAGTTCCCTCTAGTCTCCTTATTTGTCACAGAACCATCTCACTAAGGCTCGAGAGAATCTTTATTTAGTCTTGCAGATGTCACCGGGCCCTGCAGATTGGAAATGAGTCCAAAGGATTAAGGCGAGGTCATTAATTGGAGGCCTTCCCCTTTAAGAATGATTGACAGTTACTTTCTGGACAAGTAATTGCTCTAAATGTCCCTTCAGTTCAGGGGAGGGGGAGAACTCTAATGGTGGACAAAGACGGGAACTGCCTTCCCCACTCAGATTGTCTCCTGTACAAAGGCATCCTGCTGGAGTTTTCCTTGTAATCCCCTCATTACTGAAGAGGAAAAGAATTAGAAACACAGAGTGAGGAGAAGAAAGGCAGAACAGGCTGCACGGGGAGAAAGGGAAACAAT